GGGGTGAAGGGTCTAGGTATTTAGAATTGCCAAGAGGCTCCCTACTTTGAGTGTCATAGTGGGTCCCCCTAATAATACCTCCCTGGTGTTCTATTACCTCAGTGCATGCCCATATTTGAATTCACTATTTCTACTACTAGCCTCCTCTATTAGGCTTAAGGCCTAGGCCTAGTACTATTATAGAGCCCTATGTAGACACAGGCCTCTAACCTAGGCATAACCAAGACTCGATTTTATTACAGAGGTTTTAGGCTAGGCTTCCCCCCTCCCCACTCCCTCCCTTCCTAGTCCAAGTCTGGAAGGGAGGAAATTTTACAGATTGACCACCTAAGCCCCACCATGGTAACTTTGAAAATATAGATAATTTATTAATAAATTTTAATCATACAGAACGTGTCATCTGCTCTGATATTTTTAAGTACTTCTTCTAGGCCTATAACATTTTTAATAGTATTTAGATATTTACATTGATAATAATAATAATAATAATTATATTTAAAAAAGACTGTAAATCAGATATTGATCATTTTAGGATGTTGGTTAATTACTTGCTTACTCCCTGGTGGGGACCTGCCTGGTCCCCACCTAAAATTTACAAAATAAAAATAAATGGAGAAAAAAGGAAAATTATACAAGGATAAAAGAATAAAATTGTGATAATAATTTATCTCAACTCATCTAAACTCATTTACACTTTTTTCACTCATTCATTCATTATTCCATTCATTCATTTATACACCCACTCTTTCAATCAATCACTAATTCATTCATCCATTCATTTAATCATTCATTTATTCATCATTCATTTATTCATTCATTCACCCACTCACTCAATCATCCATTCATTTATTCATGCATTAATTCATTTATTTATTCACTCACTCATTAATTAAATAATATATTCATTCATTCATTTATTCATTCATTCATTCATTTATTCATTCATTTTCATTTATTTATTTGATTTTATTTATTCATTCATTCATTCATTTTCAATCATTCATTTTTATTCATTTATTCATTCTTATTTTCATTCATTTTATTAATTATGATTATAAAACACATGTGTATTTTTTGATTGGAACTAATAATAATAATTTTTTTGGAACAGTGGCGGATTTGAAGAGGGCCCAGCTGGCCAGGTGCCCACCTAAAGTTTTCAAAATAAAAAAATGGAGAAAAAAAAAAGAAAATTATACAAGGATAAAAGGATACAATAATAATAATAATAATAATAATAATATTCCATCCATTCGTCCATCCATTTACTCACTCATTTATTCTCACTAATTTTTTCACTCATTCATTCATTATTTAATTTATTCATTTATTCACCCACTCACTCAATCACATATTCATTATTCTATTCATTTATTAATGCATTCATTCATTCATTCATTCATTTATTCATTTGATTTTATTTATGCATTCATTTTTAATAATTCATTTTTATTCATTCATTT